AATTAAATGATGGATGTTAGCAGCATGGCTCTATAATAAAATTTGGCAGCCAAATCTTACAAATTGTTCAGATTGGTTTGGGTTTATGTGCACTGAAGGGTTTATACAAATAGTTATGATAAATACAAAGGATTAAATTGGAACGATTTGAGAGAGTAAACATCACATCAATTAAATTCACGGATGATACTCAAGTTTGTGAGACTCTGCCCCCTCAGAAATATTAAAGAGTAAGTAAACAGGAACTAAGATTACTTACCAGCTGGAAGAGAAGGACATACAGCACAGCAGACACACAGCTATGAAATGGCTGCGTAAGGGCAGCAGTTGCCTGTATCTGCACAAAAAGACCAAGAGCTCCTCAAAAGCTGTTCTGGGAAAAAGGTCCTAGAAAAGTGCCACCCTGAAGAAATTTAGTAAGATCAAGGCATTCACAGAGGAATCAGCCTTTGTGTGTAACAGCCTGTAGAGCCCTACCTGGTAACCTGACCCAAAGTCCATTGTAGGCAAAGGAAAGACTCCCCCAGACAAGTGGGACTAAATGGCCACACTGGGATACTGCCATTCCCCAGAATATTGGAGAATTGGAAAAAATAGGAAAGTTTTAAGGGTAATGTAAGCAATATTTGTGGTGCAACACCTCATATTGGTTTCTCGAAAGCAGGGAACGATCGTAGGTGGTCATTCTTCAGCACTCCTGCTGCAGCCTGAACCTTGGACTGGCTGTGGGGATAATTATCTCCTGAATGCGTGTGGGGCAACAGCCCCCCCCCCCACCACCTGAGCAGCCCTGTGTCTACTGATGTCACAAGGGGCTTGCTCCTGCCTTCGTAACATGTCAACCCGTGAAGTTGAGTCTAGGCAGATCATGATGAAATTTGCAGCAGGCATCTTCTGACCTAAGCACAGAGGTTCCTTCCCCTGACCGCTCCCTGAGCAGGTTTGTTTCAATGAAAAGAATGAGTTTGAAACAAGTGCTGCGGAAGCTCCCAGCCCTGCTATTGGCTCTGCCCGATACACCTCTGCATTCCTATTGGCCGAGCAAAGAAGAGCTTGCCTAGCGCGAGGAGAGGGAGCCTTATTGGGATCCTGGGAGGTGGGTGGGCACAAAGCCCGCCCATGTCTAAAGGCCCCTCCCCCAGCCTTGCAGGAGGGACCACTGGACCTGAATAGGGGGGACAAGTAATGAAGAACAGGGTTAGGAGTGAAGGTCACAGGTTTCAAATGAGGGTTGCAGGGGGGACACTGAGCCGAGAACCCCAGACAGGGGCGGGGGGAGAAGGGGGACTTTCAAGCAGCTTGGCTGGGGGGGGGGGACACTCAGCCAGG